TTGAGATTGCATTGAACCTATGAAAAGCATTTGCTAAAACAATCATTTTCACAATATTCTACCAATCCATGAGCATAAAATAGCTTACCATTTTCTCACATTTGTTTTTATTGTTATTTTATTTTTTACAATTTATTCATGTTATATCCTGATTGTTCCCTGGTCTGTTCAGTTGGCCAGTGTGTCTTTTGACTGGAGAATTGAGACCATTAATATTTAAAGTTATTATTGAAATGTGTGCATTAATTGTGGTCACTATGTTGTTGAGTTTTGGTGGTGTTTATGTTCTCATGGGTCCTTAGCAATTATGTCTCCATATTTCTTTCCACAGTGTCTTGACTATATTCATCCCTCTCTTCAGCCTGGAATATTGCTTCCTGTGTTTTCTTTAGGTTTGGTTCATTGGATATAAAAATTTTAGGCTTTTTATAACATGGAGTTTTCTTTCTCCTTCAACTATGGTGAATTGTTTCACCACATGCATTAATGTAGGTTGGTATTCTCTGTCTTTTAAGACTTTGAAAGCATTGCTTCAGGCTATTCTGGCTTTCCATATTTCCTTTGAAAAAGTAGCTGTTATCATGATGGGCTTTCCTTTATATGTGACTATTTTTTTTTCCTCTTTCAGCTTTCAAAGCACTTTCTTTATTATGTGTACTTAAGTGTTTTGACTATTATATGTCTTTGAGATTTTGTTTTCTCGCCTTGTCTATTTTATGTTCTGTATATTTCTTACATTTCTATACACACACACACACACACACACACACATATATACATACATATATATATATATATATATATTTTTTTTTTTTTTTTCTTTCTGTTTCTCCCCACGATCCTGTGGAAGAGCTGGTCTATGGCACTTACTTTGGAGTCTTTTCCCTATGACTATAATTCAAAGGTTTGTTCTTTTCATGGTGTCCCACTTTTCTTATACATCCCTTTCTTTTGTTGTCTTAAAAATTTCACATATTTTTAATTAATTTTTTATATTAATTACAGTTTATTTATTTTGTATCCCAGCTTTGAGAATGTAATGACCTCAGAACACATTTCTCCGAGTTGTACTCAAATTGGCTGTACAGAAAGCTTAAGGGCTATGCTATCTTTTTCATAGAGATTAACAAGTTAGTTATACACTGCAGGTCAAAAGCTTTCAGAATATAAATGCTGAACACACGTTGAGTTTTTCTACTTGTGAGTATAATTGACAAGTAAAAGCAGGGTATTTAATACTCCCCTCATCAAATATACACTGTCAAATAAAACCACAAGCCTATTAGCATACTGATCATCAGGTCTGGGAAGATGGTTCAGTGGGTGAAGTGCTTTCCCAGGAAGCTTAGTAGTCCTCTGGGTGGTCACCGTGGCTTGTAACACATGTAACTCCAGAGTAAGCTGGCTAGCTAGAACAGCCCAATCAGTGAGGTCTGGTACAACTGAGAGGATTTGCCTTCAAGAATAAGATAAAGAATGACTGAGGATGAGGAAAATTATAGCCATCAATGTTGGGTTTTCACATGTGCCCGCACACAGGTATATCCCTTCACACAAGCATACCAGACACTGAGACAGGGTCAACGTTCCTCCATATTGTCCTTGCTGTAGCTGTCTAAGGTTTTTTTTATTTTATTTTATTTTTCTTTTTAGTTACATTTTGTTAACTCTGTGTCCCAGCTGTATCCCGCTCCCTCATTCCCTCCCCAACCCCACACTCCCTCCCTGGTCTCCTCCCTGCCCCTTTCCAAGTCCACTGATAGGGGAGGACCTCCTCCCCTTTCATCTGACCCTGTTTTATCAGGTATCTTCAGGGCTGGCTGCAAAGTCCTCCTCTGTGGCCTAACAGACTGCTACTCCCCTGGGGGGGGGGGTGTCAAACAGCCTGCCCTTGAGATCCTGTTAGAAATAGTCCGTGTTCCCCTTACTTTGGAAAACTACTTGGTTACTGAGCTACCACAGGCCACATCCGAGCAGAAGTTCTAGGTTACATCCATAGATGGTCCTTGGTTGAGTGTCAGGCTCAGAAAAGACCCTGTGCCCAGATATATTTGGTCCTTGTAGAGCTCCTATCCTTTCCATATCATACTAACTTCCCTTCTTTCATATGATTCCCTGCACTCTGCCGAGGGTTTGGTTATGAGTCTTAGTGTCTGCTTTGAGCTGTCTAAGGTTTAACTCAGAGCTAAACCCAATTACCCAAGTCACAGGGACTTGAGGTCAAAATGCCTCACCTAACTGTTGCTTTTCTGCTTCTGTTAACTGCTTGCTTGGTCTACTTCCCTCTGCAACTGCCAACCAGGATGTGGCTTTTGCCTTTAAAAGCTCCCTGTGGAAAATAGCCTGGGCTCCCGTGTGAGTCCAGTTTCTCTCCAGGCAGTATCCAGCAGGCTTAATAACAACTCTCAAATTTGGACTTCGATTTTTGTTGAGTGGCTCTTGGGGTCTCTGCCCCATGATAGACATAAAACACATGGAAGAAAAATAAATAGAATATTCACTATTTCTCACATTTGTATATGGGGCAAGTTCATTCTATTCTTCACAAAGTTCAAGTATCTGTGTTCTGAAACTATATATTCTTAATAAGATAATCTGTCATTCAGCCATAAACAGTACATAAACTAATAAATGTTAAATATAAACAGTGCATATGCAAGAATTTCAGGAGTTAATTCCAAATATTTAAAAATTCATCTCAATTCAACCTAAGCAGCTGATATACATTCTGATAATTAGTGTGTTGATTTTTCAAATCAAGAATTTAACTGCAACAGCAGTATTCTGGAAGGGCTAAAGCAATAGTCATAGATTTACCTGAGGGCAAATCTACTTAGAATTACTAGAGGATGAAAAGCATCACTGTTTCCATGCTGTTTGTTACTCTTTCCCTCAAAGCAGTTAGGGAACAGCACTTTAGTGAAAGCCATCAAGAAGGGCAGAGACCGTTGAATACATAGTGCAGAAGCAGGACTAACGGGGAGAGTAACCTGAAACTATCAAAGGGCAAACATAGCCCAGGAGCTTTGCTCATCAAAGAACGAGGTTAAAGGATGGGTGTGGGCCTTTTCTGTGCTTGTCTACTGTTCATCTGATAACCCCTGGCATTGCCTAGGAATAACCCCTCGTATCACTGGCGAAGAGAAAAGGATAGGACATGGAGTCTTGAAACTTGTTCTTTTCTTACTGTATGAGTTTAGAAAAGTGGTATCTGCTCCCCAAACACTGCACCTCTAAAATCTGCAGTTAGAGAACCAAAATAAACCTTTGAGTGGAGAAACCTTTACTCTCTCCCCAGCTATAAAGTTCTACTTGCCCAAATAATTTTGAAAGAATGAAATTAACCCACTCAAGTAGAGCAATGTGCGCTTTCAATGGACATAACAGAATATTCAGTTTCCTGACTGGAGTAAGTTACCAGTTTAATGTTAGATTAAGCTTTCACAGATGTTTAGCAATTCCATAAGAAGCCTCTTGCTGCTCCGAGAGCCCTTGAGATTCAATACACTGGACCTCTCTTGCTTACATTCTCCAGTGCTTTATTTATGTCAATGAAAAGAAGTCATGGACACTTCTATTTCAGAGCTTAATGTATTACAATCAATTCAGTTTTCCCATAATTAAAAAGTGAAAGCCTTGCCATCTTCTTTGCATGATTCACAAAACAGAAGAGAGAAGGCAGGGTTCACAATTATTCTGAGCTTCCAGGCATTTACATTCCTGGGCTGGATACAATTTAATTCAATTCATATTTACCAGCTGATGTTTCTGTGATGAGAACAGCCTTTAAAGATACTCTTGTCTTAGTCCCTGGAGCCTGGAATCGAGCTACGTGGCCAAAGGGCATTAAGGCTGCAGGTGGAATACGGATGCTAATTAGGGACCTTAAATCACATGAGATCTTAGGTCAGGCAGAAGAAGAAAGAAAAGTCAGACAGGAGGACCTAAGGACCAGACCCACACTTGCCTGAGAAGATACAGTAATGGGACAAACAAACAAATAAAACAGAAACAGCAACTCCCACCCCAATGAGTGGATTCTGGAAGCATGGAACTGTTGGATATAGAGCATCCCCATCCCCTATACAGACTCTAGAAAAGATCACAGCCTTGCATCTAGAAAGATCGACCACAGCTTTCATCTCAGCACAGTGAGGCCCCAGACCACTACAGAACTGAGATGATACAGCGTGCTTTGAGACGCGGCGTCTATGGCATTTTGTTCGGGCAGCCACAGGACACTAATCCAGGGTCACAGAACTGACTTCACCCATTTGGTGTTTCATGGAGATGGAAGAGGCATGGGTGTAAAAGAGGAAATCCTTCCTAAAATCCCTGCTTTACCAGTGGTAATGCCTTTTTTGTTTTTTTTCTTTTAATGAAGGTGGAAACAAAAGAGCTAGAATCAGTACTTTAACAAGCTCTCTAGGTGACAAAAGTTTGGAAAACACTAGATTACGTTTGTTAGAAGTTATTTTAAAACGGAGAAAACTATGTGATGCTCCCTTCTGTAATCATCTTCCAGTGCTGTGATTCTCGACCTTCCTATTTCTGCGACAACCCTTTCCATACAGCTCCCGGTGTTGTGGTGACCCCCAATCATAAAATTATTTTTTTTCCTACTTCGTAACTGTAGTTTTTCTACTGTCATGAATCCTAATGTAAATATCTGATGTACAACAAATCTGACATGCGACCCCCGTGAAAGGGTCATTCGACCACCCACAAGAGGTAACAACATGTTGACAACTGAGTACACCAAGGAGATATCAGGTGTGGTGTCTTACCAAGGCTCCAAGAATGAAACACTCTTCCAGAGCACTAAAAGGAGCACCCTGCAGCAACTTTATCCGTCTGAGCCTGTAAAGGCGTCTCCTCCTTTGAAAGTTCCCATGAGTTGTAAGATTATAAATACCAAATCTATTACCTTTTTGAAAGATCATTAGAATCCGCTGACTAGTATTCATGGAGCCGTGAGAAACAAAACAATTTCACGCACATAATTCCTTTTCTTTAATTTAATACAAAGACAGTACTGTTCCACATATCCCAATATACTTTTAAAAGGGTTTTAAGCACTGGTAAGGATTAAGTGAAAATAAACTCATTGATGGGTTAACAATGACCACAGTGTCATCCCCATGAGTCCTGCTGATGACATCACCACTAACCATGTTTGAAGGGCAGATAGAGGAAACACACAGGAGAACATAGGTATTTTAAAACTGCATTTTATCTAATGGTTACTTCTCCACCAACTCCTGTGTATACCAGAAGATGCACTCAAAAAGCCTGGAAAGGCATTATGTCAGGACATACCTCTGTCAATTACCCATTACTGTAAACCACTCCCATCTGTTTACAAAACGAAAATGACCAATGAGGACATGAAACATTCGGTGGAAGATGAACATTAACATAGACTGTTAGCCAGAGGAAGAAAATTCACAAAGATGGTAACAGAAATGAGAAAATTAGTGCAAGCAAGACAAATACACACTATTTATGATAATTTGCTCTGGTTAAATCAAGGTACCTCACTCAGTCAGCAATTCCAACACTGTGAGAGGAGCAGATACACGATCCAGACTCCTCTTTGTCAATTCTCATCCAGGAGTTATTTGCTAGTCAGCCTGTGAAGTGAAAACACTGCGTCTACACTGACATGACAACACATGTTTCACAACAATAGAAAAGTCAAATCATTATGGTAGATGATTATTATTATTATTATTATTATTATTATCATTTAAAGTGCACAGTTTAAGAAACCTTCACTAGAGGGTGCACTTTGGAAGGATAGGGTCAGAGTACATAGTGTAGACAAAACAGGCACCTCCATGGTAATTTGTCCTAATAAATAAAAGCCCATTAGAAAACAAAAAAGGTGAGCAGCACCTGAAGCCTTGACATGACTAAATGCTTGTATCCAACGGTCTAGCTAGTTAAGTGTTGCTAAGAGCTGCAAAGGAGGAGCTGCTGTTGATTTTACATTTTTTAAGTTCTAGGAGAGACGAGAGCTTGTCTGGCTTGCAGTCCCATCGCCCGGAGGGAAGGCGGATCCAGATCCTTCAAGTATCCTATACTTTGGAGAGCAGACCAGACTCTGGAGCACTTGCTTTAATCAGGTTCTGAATTTCCTTGAATTTTGGATGGTCTTTGTCAGCCACCAGCTGTAGGAGAACAGCCTCGCTAGTGGTCACAATGATCCCAGTTCGAGCAAGACGCTATCAAAGAGAAGGAAGAAAAGAAGTGAGCTGGAAAATGGAGATCATTTAAAAATGAAGAAGTGGCTAGGGCAATAATTAGGGTCTTCATCTACGACAATGGTTCTCGGCCACATCAATAAATTCAGTGATACAGAAAGGTTTTGAAACCAGCTGATTCACAAACCCATCACAGGTATTTCTCGGTATTAATAATGGGCTAGAAACAAGAATAGGAAAACAGGAAGCCAGTGTCAAGATCTGTAGGTACCAGATCCCCAGGCTAGTCATGGTAAATAAAACATGAGCAAGGACAGAAGAGAGTGATTTTAATCGTAGCCCTCCCTGTGCCAGTCAGTATTTGTCAACTCGGCACTCAAGCTGGGGTCTCTGGTAAGGAGAAAACTTGACTAAGAAAGCGCCTCCATTAGATTGGCCTCTAGGCGAGTCTACAGGGCATTTTCTTGGTTAAGGATTGATGCTGGTGGTCCCATGCTATGTAAAAAGTAAGCTGAGCAAGCTAGTAAGCAGTATTCGTTAGTGACCTCTGTTCAGTTCCTGCCTCTGGGGTCCTTTCTGCCTTGAGTTCTTGCCCCAACTTTACTCAGCCATCAACTGATCAACTGTGACCCTTTGCTCCCCACGTTGCTTCTGGCCATGGTGTTTAACACAGCAATAGACACCAAACTAGGACAGCAGTACTCCAGGTCCGGTAACACTCCACCTCTCCTTCCGCTCTCTCAAATGGCGCCTTCTTTTGTCTTCAGGTTTTGATAAACTCTTGTGTTTTATTTCTAACACAAAGAACAAAAGAGGCACCACATCCACATTTACCCTGTGCAGCGTAATCAAAACAGAAGACCATGTAGAATACTACTACATTTGCCTGGCATAACTGCCTATTTACTTAAAAATAATCTCTACTATGGACATAATTATAGCTATCCAGACTGTTTATTTTTTTACTAGTTTGCTAGCCAACTATACATAACTTTAATTGCTTTCAGAAAATAAGGGTTCTTAAATTCTTTTTTTTTTTTTTTCTGACTTCAAAAACAGCACCTGAGGACTTCTCATAACCAGAGTTCTCTGGTCTAGGAATGATTGGCAGAAGTGAAGGGCCTTAAGTGGAATAATAAAACCACCACCTCTTCTGCCATTATAAACTTTTTTAGAATGACTAAACAAGGTTATAAAATCAAAAACTATGTAAAGGATCCCAACAGAACTTCTCCTAAGAAAATGACTTTGCTAGGCTGCTTCAGCAGAACCATAGGAACTATAGTAGATATCGCAAGGAGGTGGGGGGAGGGAGCTAAGAAGAGAAACTCAGGAGGGTGTAGGGAGCAGAGAATCCAACAACAGAGGTCCACTCCCTTCACTAATAAGCTGGGGTAAAGGACAAACAGCTGTCCCTAGAAGCAGCTGTGGCAGGAACCTTAGCTTTTTCTAGTGCTGTAAAAACCAGTTTTATCCATCTACCCTAATAATCTTTGGGGATGCTGGAAGCTGGGTCACATTGGGGTATACGGTGCCACTTAAAACTAAGGTTTAAAAATAAATGAGCAAAGAGCCCATGTGAGAAGGAAGGTGTGGTACAGAAAATGCAAAGCTTTTAGAATTAGGCTCCTAAGTGTTTGCATAGATAGAGCCTGCCCTTTCCAATGTGGGAGGAAGCTGGACAGACAATAGCACCAGGTTCTGGTGTCCTGTGAACTTCCTGATCCCATAGTCTTCAGCCAACTTTCCCTCCAGAGTTAAAATAGAACTTTCAAAGATTCCTCCTTACACTTGCACAGTCAGTCCAACTGGGCCAATGATAAAGGAAGTTTCCTTGATGTATAAACCTAAAACTATAAGTCAGTGATGGAGTACTTAACCCACTTCATATACGAGCAACCCTAAAATCTACCCATCAATATAGGGGCATCAAATTTGCTAGCATATTTACTCCATCTACTCTGCAATTCTTCTCAGATCAGCTAAAATCAGGCAGGTGCTACAGCAATCCATTATGCAATTTCAATCAATTATTACTTCAAGGTGACACTGCCCAATAGGTGGTAAGTATATACAATACACATCCAGGGACACACCACAGGCCTGACACTTGCTAAATTTAACAGGCAATGCAGATAAGGATTGTCTGAAGTAGTTCTGCTCTGGGGGAGAAAAGAAAGGGAGCTGGCCATAGTGCCGCTAACTTTCATTTCATATATAAATAAAGTATGTCTGCAAAAACTCCATAGCAAGGTACAACAAAGAGGAACAGCCTATAATCTGGCAGGCATCATCACCTCACCTCACCTCACCTCACCTCACCTCACCTCACCTCACCTC